ACACTCTTAGCCAATGACCTCCTGTATTATTTTCTTCAGATATAGAAAGCATCTATAAAGAACTACCTGATCTTCCCAGCAGAAAATGTTCCATCCCACCTACATCTGCGCACATAAACTCTGCCTTCCCTCCTGCTACCCGGGATGAAACTCTTCCTGTTCTACCTATGGCCACGTTCTTCATTTGTGCACTGAATCTCATCATCTCCCTCCTTCTCAAGGACTTTGTCTCAACTCCCCAGAGATTAGTCCTCAACTCCCTTTTCTGTAAAAACTTACTCCTTAGGGGCTCCCACTAGCCCCATTCTTTGAAGAATATACTGGTGTCTGTAAGGATGACTGTTCAGCATCCTTGATGCGTCTATTCCTCCCCCTGAATGCTCAACTCAGTAGCAAGTTCTCTTGAGCTCTACCTTCAAAATGTATCTTAGGACCAATATCGTATGATTCTACTTATGTGAGGTACCTAGAACAAATTCATAAAGACATGAAGTTGAATCATGGTTACGGGGGCTGAAGGGAGGGAATAAAAGTGTTTAATGTGTACAGAGTTTCAGTTTGGAATGATGAAAAGTTCTGGGGATGGATAGTGGTGATGATTACATAACAATGTAAACGTACTTCATAGCACTGAACGGTATACTTAAAAATGGTTAAACTGATAAATTTTATGCTATATATATTTTACCACATTAAAAGAAAGATCAGTTAAGAAAACAGATATGTATAAATTTGAATCCAACCGCTTTTTACTACTTTTATTGCTGTCACCCTAATTCAAAACACTGTCATCTCTCACCTGCATTACGGCAATAGCCTACTGAAACATCTACCTGCTTTTAATCTTGCCCCCTGCGTCAGTTGGATCTCTACACACAACAGCAGAGTGATGTTTTAAACCACAAGGGAGATCCTATAACTAGCCAGATCAAAACTCGGTCAGAATAAAATTCAACTCTTTACAAAGGTCATACTCTTCATCGAATACCTGGGTCTTTGTTCCTGCTTTCACTCCCTCCAGAATGCTCTTTTCAGAGCTGGCTCCCTCACTTCATTCAGGTCTCTGCTCATATATTACACCATACCCAATCATCTAATCTAAACTATGCTCCCATCACACACATGTGCATGCATGCAGACATGTGTACCCATGACACATACATATATCCCTTCCTCTGCTTTATTTTTAACAGCTCTCTTACTACATATATTTGCCTATTTACTTATTTACTTATTACTCTGCCCCTCTTGACATAAGCTCAATGAATTATCTACTGCTGCTTTTCTAGACCTTAACCATGACTGGTACATAATAGGAGTTCAAGAAATATTTGTTTGCTAAAGGCATGATGGGGATTGTTTGAGGCTTTGCATGTTAAATTTGAAGTTTAGAAAATTTCAGATGGAAGAGTGTTCCTAAGTGGCTCACGTCGGAAAGGATTCTCCTTTAACAGCAAAGAAGTCCTTCAGTAACCAATGACAACACTTCAGTAAGGACTGTTAACAGCAAGAATGAGTGGAGGGAGGGGAGAGTTGAGATAATGGATGCCAGAGTGCTGAGAAAAGTCTAAGATGCTGGTGCTTATAATATTTTATTATTCATAATTGTCATGTTGATGAGAAAGGGCTTAAAGGTCTCTTGAAAATATTCTTCAGAAGATTATGCTATTTATGCAAGAAATAGACTTGTGGAAAGAATCCTATGGTATGCATGTCATCCCTAAGTGATGAAGAGGAATGGCACTTTAATGAGTAAAATGCTGAGTGTATTCAGACACCTCCAGGGTCTGCTAAGTGTAATAGGTGGTGATAGTATTATTGTGGTATCCTGGTGGAGGGTCTAATTTCAGGAGGCTAAATTGGGGTTTCCCAAAATTGAGTTCCCCTGTTGTATTTTAGATTTCTTAGACTTTTGAAGAGGGAAATTAAGAAGTAGGTGAGATTTTTAGAATTGTTATAGAATAAAATTTTATTTTAATAAGAAGAATTACATTATCACTAATTATGATATAAAGAAAAAAATAGTGTTCAGATTAGAACAGAGAGTTACATTAAAGGTCTATGTTCTTAGTTCTGCTGTTTCTTATTTTAACCAGGTCAACTTTTCCTCCTTTTTTCTCAGTCAGTCCTATTCTGGAGACTTCCAGGTTCTCAGTGGGCACTTTGCTTTACTGCTAACTGAATGGAGATCTCAAGGTACTACTCTACTTCCGGAGCCTGGGCCACTCCTTAAGCTCTGAGGCCCTCGCTGCTCCTTCCCTGCTTTGTGGGGTGAATGCAGTAAAAAGAGAAGTAGAACTAATGACTCCTGAGTCTGACTTGGAGGGCGACCTGCAATCTCCATTTGCCTGTGATGGAGGTGGCCCAGGGACATGGGACTTTCAATGCTAAATCTGAGAAAGTCCCTGGGAAACTGGGACAAGTTGGTCACCCTCCCACTACTAAGTTCAAGGATAGAACTGGTAGAAGAGCTAAGGCATGGCATCATTCACTACAGCTTGTGGCAAATTCTTGGCCCTGAGCTTATAACTTCCTGTGACCTCAGGGATCTCCTCTGGGCATCTTTAACCTTCTTCTCCTTATTTAATTATTTGCACTGAATGGGAGTCTGTGAATTCCTATTAAGCCTCAAATACAGTCCCCAAAACAAAGAGGAATATTGTGTTTATAAATTATGACGATTGCAATGACTATTTGCCTCTCTCTGCCCCCATCCTGTTCCAGCTACTATCACTTAACCCAACCTAGGGGCTCAGCCTCTACCCCAGATCCGAGGCCTAATCCTGTTTGTGGACTCGGAACATTTTAGGAGTCTCAAGCCAGCTTCTCTGACCTGGTGCTTCAGCTTGGAACCTGGGTCTGTGTTTATCCCCTACTTTGCGCCCTAGACCCTTGACTGGGATTTCACTTGGCAATGTGTTTGCATGCCACTACCTGCCCTGATGTGCTCACAAGGGTCCAGTGTCACACGAGTGGCATGAGGCATGTGCCTGGGGTCCTGGCTCCTCCAGCATCCCTGATGCCCTGACCACCAGCCTTGGCCTTCTCCTGGACTCTATGCTGCTGGGCTCTGCTCCTCACGGAGGCCCGGCCACTGTCTATGAACCTCCCCTTCAGGGCAATCCCCACGCATAGCAACTCTGTGAGCTTTGGACACAGGTGCTTCCCCAGGCACAAAGGTTACAAAACAATGTCCCCTCTGGGATGACTAATTAGAAAAGAGTATCCTTTCCTTGGGCACCTATAAGGCACAGGGCTTGGCAGACAGAGCCCTGGCTGGGTTTTAACTCCTGCTGGCACCATCGTAGCTGGGTGTTTAAACTTACACAACCGCACACCTAGCTCTTCTCCTAACACTAACGAATACCTGGCCCAGCTGCCACCAGGACCTGGCACAATGGCATGCTTTGTGTGTCTGGACAAATTTGGTCTCACTATTGAGCACTGAACTTGACCCTGCATTTGCTCTTTGTCTACCCTGCTCCCATCTTCTTCAGCTTTCAGGCTACTCCTATTTAGGCTCATTCTTAACCTGCTGGTGTAAAACAAGTAATGCTGTAGCCTATAAAAACCTAAATGGATAATATTAATGATATGAGTTTTGTCCTTCCTGTCAAATATTATAATAAAATTCAATTTTAGTTTAACAAAACCTACCACCCATTGGCTACAGTGCTTTGTTACTTTGGATCTCTGCTGGTTTCTGGATGGATTTTCTAGTCTTTTCTACTCTTTTTTCCCCAAAAGATGTTTACCTTTGGGTAATCCTGTGTTTTCTCTTTCCAAAGATAGTTGAAGATTCTTAGAAGAAAGTTTTCTAATACAATGTTGACTTCAGGCCTACACCAAAATCTATTATTCCAGAATTCTCTGTGAAAAAGATGAAGGTATGAAACTTGACTGCTTAAACAGCAGTAGCTCCTAAAACGTGGAACCAGAAAAGAGAGTACAGGAAAGAGAAGCTGTGGTCTGATAGGTTGGACATCCTAGCTCTGGGAGGAAGGTGGCAAGAGCAAGCAAGATCCATTTGGGACAGATGCAGAGAAAAGACTGGAGATGAGAAAAGCCATTTGGACAGGCTGAATCATATTACACTGAATTTTTGAAAGCTTATCAAGCCAAAGAGAATCTTTTGTTACTTGGAATTGCAGGCTTTGAAAGTTTAATCAATTAAATCCAAGTTTCCCTGATGGAACATACAATTACCAGAAAGCTTGAGCCTGCCGCGAAGCCATGTGTTACTTTGTGAAAACAAATTGAATTTTATTTTGTGAGGAAGGTCAGTAGATTATTTTCATACCTCTACCACATTTAAATGCAAGCCACTGAGTGTGCTGGGGAGCATTGCTGTTTTTACAATGCTACCTTCTCATAGTTAAATGGGTACACGATAAATACTGCATAGAACACATAAGTACTTAATAGTATCATTTCAGTGTAACTATGGGCTAAGTATTATGTGGTACCCATAAATACACACATATATCTAAATATATAGGTATCTAGAGACAGTGAATGAATACATACATAAAATTAAGAGACAGAATTAGTTTCATCAACATGGTTACACATTATGCTTTAGTTTAGACAATGTCAGTTCCCTGGAAATGCCTTCGCACAGCCAGATCTATGCTAAGATCAAAACCTGTTTTTTTTTTCTTTTCTTTAGCCACCAAAAATAGCTTAATAAATAGAAAAAAACTTCTCCAGGGTGCTTTTCCTCCTTAGAGTATTGTGTAAAAGATGTAGACAAAAGTTTGGAAGGAAAAGCTTATCTGCATTTATAAACCCCAGACAGGGTTGAATTTTTCACACATAATAAATGAGCTTGAGTCCACTAATTGTGTAAACACTTATTGCGCCTCCAATCATCCTCCTCTAGATGACTTCCTCTAATTCTAACCATTGGCCCAGTAGAAAGTGATCTGTGTTCAAAATCTGCTCAAGTTTTCTCACTTTCAGCCTATTTGAAGGCTGAGTGGGAACAGTAGCCGACTTACTTGTATTTATCTTCTGGAGTGAAATATGCTTTTCCAGTTGTCTCCTAAGTTTCACCTCTGCTCCGTACTTTCCGGTGGTCCCATTGTCGGCCAGAATGAAGTGAGAATGCATGCTGTTGAGAACAGTGAGCTTGCTCATGGGATTGGACATGGTCTGATATGGCCGGACAACCTGCAGAATTTCAAAAAAAGGGGCAAAGTCAGAGAAAAGAGTGAAAAATATGAAAAGGAGAACCAGACAGACAGGAATGAGAGAGAGAGAAGGGAAATCAATTCTTTGGTACAGTGAAAGGATAGTCTACATCCTCCTCCTAACACTGTTTTGGGTAGAAGCAAGATTTACAGTACGTATTCCATTAATTTTCTGGATTCATACAGAAATGAGAGTTTGTGCTTTCACTGTACTCAAAAACTGGCAAGTGAATGTCTGTTTCATTTTGAAGTTGATTGTTTATATGCTGATGAACCAAAAATAATTTTTAAATTTAGCTATTTTGTTTCTTTCTTTCTCCTCTCCTTCATGTCCATACATCTAATAGGCAGAGAAGAGCAACCATGATTCTGGAGTACAGTGGAGGATGGGGAGTGGAGGGTGGAGAATGGGGTCAGGGGTGATCTTCTTTGTCAAGCCCATTCAGCAATCTGAAGGTCTGTTATTTAAACAGACCTTAAGACACCTTAAGGTGTCTTATTAGACACCTTAAGTGGAAATGCTGAATGTAAAATAACTGTATCATGATATAAATAAAAATCAGGTTCACAATGTTCATCTCTGTCTTAAATTTTTGTTGTGTTATTTTAATTTCATGGTGAATCAGACTACCTGAAACAGAACAATTCTTAGTATGGTCTTTCAGACTTTTGATCTGAAAAGAAAAACAAAACCTATTGTGCGCCAGTTGCTTTATATACATTATCTATACTCCTTGCAACAATCCTGCAAAGTAGATGTTGTTATGTTTATTTTGTAGATGAAGGAACAGAGATGGAGATTAAGTAGGTTTTACAAGAGTTTACCACACTCAGAACCAGAAATCACAACCAGGTCTGCCTGATTCCAAAATCTATGCTTATTCATTCCCCTTTCCCAAACTGCTTAGACACAATGGAAACAAGATGACGTGTTGGAAACCTACTCCTAAAACATTTAGGCAGAAATTTCACTCAAGACTATGAAAAGGAACATTTAACCAACTCACTGTTACACGGTGTCCATACAGTTATTTCTGTACTGTATCACTGAAATTGACAAGACAGAAATAAATGCTAAGGGACTTTTATTTCTGTGCCTTTATGCAGTGTATACATTAATTATAGAGTTGAGATGCACTTGTTCATTTTAAGTATATAATAACTCATCAGGCAAAGCTGTAGTTTGCTAAAGGAATTTAGCAAAGTAGTTTGCTAAAGGAATTACAAAGTGATTCAGTAAAGACAGCATCAGTAGAAAAGATCTCATAAAAGCCATATTTTACACCTTGATGCTGATTCAAAACCCCACATTTCTGTATGCCTGGCAAACAGAATCTACTCAATGAATAGTGAATGGATTAATTCAAAAGACTTGAGACAGACATGCTTTTATTAAAAGTTGAAAAATAAAAACCCCCTCTTATCTGAATTGTTTGGGAATTGATCTAATCTAAATTTAAAATGGGTAATTCTGAGCTTTTGAAATATCTTTCAGACCTTTTAATAAATGTCCCTATTTGTTAATATACCATTAATATACCATTAATTCACAGCTTATTCTAGATGGCTCTCATTTATAAAGGAAGCCTATAAATTTGTGATTATTGTTTCCAGTAATCACATGGAGCAGTGTTCAATTACCCCTTTGTCTAGATGAGTGAATGAGAGTACCCCCTGAACTACAGAGAGAGTGGTTGGCTAACCCCATCCTGAGTTCTTTTATCACTGGAAGAGTAGGTTGCTTGTGGTTAAAATTCCCATTTTGCTGTTACGCATTTTTGATCATAAAACATTCATTCTATAACAGAGTGCAAGTTAATAAATATTAATGCTTTGTTGAAAAAGGCTTAGCAGAAAGACTTTCTCCTATTCTTAAAGTACCTCTGCACTGTACTTTTGGATAAAAGAAAAAGCTTTAGGTTACTGTTTTCTCTTTCCTAACGGCAGTTCCCCAAGGCTCCATGCCAAGAAGGAGGGAACCCCAAAGCAGTTCTGTGAGGGGCATGGGACAGTGGATTTTCTAGAGGTTAAACTATTTGTGATGGAGAACTCCAGACACTTGTTCTAGATGAGATACGGGGCACGTTTTCGAATTCTTGGGAGCTTAATTAAAGACCACCAGTGAAAGTGATGTTTTCAAACAAATAAAGGAGTGAAAATGATTCTGGGTCAACCTGACTTAATCACCACAATCTGAGAATAAAAGAACACAATTAAATCATCTGACTATATTCTATATATCTGTTTCCCCCACCACAGGATTCTAAGGACATTGGTGCTTCAGCCTTCTGAGTTTTGACCTTCGTTTCTTGTGAAACATGGTGCACCAGCTCTTTGGGAATACGGTACATTTGAATTAATCATGATAAGAGGATCAAGTTTACAGTGTCACTCATGAATTTTAATGTCTTCATCTTACTGCTCCCCATTTCTTTGGATCTTATGTTAAAGTAAGTTAAAGGTAGTTATATTTTGCCAGGGATTTTTTCTGCCGAATAATGGAAGATATAAATCCAAAAAATAAGTTAAATGTCCTAAATTATTTTCCAGTCATCATTGGAGGAAGGTATATTGAATCCTGGAACAATCATGAACGTTTGAGGCATGGAAATCTCTTTGAATCCCAGTTCTGTCAATGGCTGTGTGAATCTGAGTCTCACATTTTTAATCTGTAAAAGAGAAATGATAAAACTACTTACCTCATGGGGGTTAGATGAGATTATATGTGCAAAGTACCTGGCACCATGCCTGGCTCCTAGTAGGCAATCTACAAATGTGAATTTCTTCTCAAGTCCTGCTTTAGCTTAACAACTATAAACTGATTCTCCAGTTGCAAACTAGTGACCAACATGAAACGATGGGAGACAATTCAGTCACTTTTGTTTTACATAGGGATTTAAATCAATCAATATGAGTAAAGAAAACAAATTTATCAGTTGCCAAAATATGCAAAGTGGTTTTTTTTTGCATGTCCTCCTAGGTCATTTAAGACGGTGATATTCTGGAAATATTTGTTGATTAACTGCAAAGTTGGAAATAACTTCCCAAATACTTCAGAGGAATGCATTTTGGTCTAACTTGTCTACAAAATACACTTAATATTCTTCATAACAAACATACCAGCAGTCTATTTTTGTTCAAGTTACAATTTGCATTTCTACAAAAGATTTGCTGATCTTCCTGTTAAGTTTTTCAAATAGAAAAAAACAATGCCTTTGTATCACATGAATACAAATGAATTTTTCCTTCTGACAAAATTTTAGAGGTAATGTAAAACTTTTATTGTTAAGAGCAAACATAAAAAGGACTTTTTTGGAAATGTGTGTATGTGTGTGTGTGTCTGTGTGTGTGTGCATGTGCATGTTTGCATAGCAAGAACAATTGTGACCTGTAGGTATACAGATTACTCTAGCACGTTTCTCAGCCAGTGTTTCCTGGGAGAATCAAGACCTAATGCTCTGCAGTATTCATTGTATGTAATGGATCACCTTCTCTCCTAAGAATATAGGATGGTCCATGTTATGTACCATCCTTGAGAGAACTGAGAAGAGAGTCATTCAAATAATTATCTGTGTTCTGTAGCTCAAATGAGGAATCTGGGTTGGGAAAGACTGAATTGTGTCTGAAAGGACTACATATCAAGTGATCTTTCATGATCGGTAACTACATTGGTATCTATACCTAGAAGGGAAATCTGCTTAGAAATGGATTTTAGATACTTAGTATTTCACTCATTAATCTATTGTACACGCTTTGTATTGGCTGATTGGTAAAGCTCTAGTTCTAAGGCCTCTGTGTACCTTGACTTTGCAACAAAGAGGGAATGTAATAGAAGCTGTTCAAGAAGTTAATGAGGTGGAGGGCCTTTATATAAGATACTTGTAGGGCCATTATCATTGCCAGGAGAGAACCGATCTAGAGACACTGCGGAGAAACTGAACATCATTTGTGTGTTGGTGCAGCGCGCTGCGTTTATTTTACTTGGATGGGCTGAAATCGATCATTTGGGAGCTGATCTAGGACACCTGCTGGAGTTTTCCTAGCTATTTTCATGCATGTTCTGGTCTCACCCAGGAGTACTTAGTAGGCAGTCAGGAGATGGGACTTCAAGTTCTAGTTCCCCTAACTACTTTTGTGAACTTGGGCAAGTCTTCAAATTTATTCATTCATTCGTTCACACACCCATTCAGAATTTCTCTAGGAAAAATGTATGTGATAAGTATTGGACTGGTTTGAGGAGACATATAATCTTGCATCTTATCTCAAATAAATATTCAAAATATATTAATCAGAAGAAACTTTTTGGAGGGTGGTTTTCTCATCTGTAAGGTAGAGGATTTGACTATAAATTCTGAAGGCTTTCTACCTCTAAAATTGAGTCTGTACAGTCTGTATTAAAAAATACATTTGCCTTTTCCAAGTTAGCACAGAACAATGACCTTCTGTGTGTGCTGGCCACAAAAAAATTAGTTCGCTCATATCTTGGGGTCTCCTCCATTTTGTGGTGCTTTCCACGACGCAAGGGCAGTTTGGGTATCTGTGACTTCTTTCCTGAACAGAACTGAATTGAGTTAAATCAGGTTTCTGAGTCATCAATCACAGGCCTTCTGCAATCCCAGACGTTATTACCTGGTGAGGTGTGTGTCAACCTGCCCCAGGCAATACCAGGGTAGGGGATGTGTAGCCCACTGAGTCATTCTTTCCCTCCTAATAGCACCATGATTATAATTTAGGCAGGAAGAAAATTAGCATTCTTTGACTACTTACTGTATGCCAGGCACCGTGATAGACACTTTTACATGGATTAATCCATTTCACGCTTATTTTAAAGACAAAACTATAGAGGCTCAGAGAAGTAAAGAGTCTTGACAAGATCTGCCCCACTAACCTCACTGTTTCCTATAAATCGCATGTAGACCTTAAATTCCTTTACAGGGCAGGAGACATTTAGAGGGAAGACAGAGGACCCAGCCTGATTTT